ATAGCTCTCTCTAGGATACAAACTAGGTAACAAATCTCCCTGATTAAAGGATACAAACTAGGTAACAAATCTCCCTAATTAAAAGAAAGATAAAGCTGATTCCTAAAAATTTGTACAGCTCACAAATCTCTCAACTACCTAAAATAGCACATAATCAGATATAATACATAATTACAGAAATCTTCCAACACATATGATGGTGTGTTGTGCCTGGAATTATGTAGGAAATCCATGTTAAAAATCATAATCTTGTCAAAAAATAAAAAAGAAAAAGAAATAGGAACAATGGACTTGTCTCAGGGGTGAATGTATGAATATAAGATGGGTATGAGGGAAATAAACTACAATATCAGTGCACCATTGGAATGATGTAATTAACTCTGTATGTGTGAGTTGACTCGTCTTTCTAGCATAAATATTCTGCAATTGGGTCTTCTGGTCTTGTTAGAGTCCCCAAGTTACATGCAAGTATAATCTGTAGATCCTTGATATTATTGAACGTATGATGAACACCCTACAAGTTTTATGGCAGACAATTTAGTATGAAAAGATGCATCCCATTTTGACTTTTAGATGTCCATGGTTGGGGCTATGTGACTTTAACTTCCATTTTTTCCTCCATCAATCTAATTAAAATCCTGATTCGACCCATATTAAAGGCACTTCCTGGAATTGTTTTGTGGGCAAATTGACTCTAGAAAATTTTTAATTGCTTCAGACAGTATTCGAGAGTGCAGCATGAGTCTTATTGCCAGACAACAAACATGCAAATTGGCACTCTGCGGAATTGTTTATTGGTTTTTCATGCATAGGAGCTTGATATTTTGGTTGGCAATTTGAAATAATGAAAAAAAAAAGTCTCATAGTGCTCTGATGGATACAAATGGCCATTGGAACCATGAGTATATTTTCTACCTTTATGGAATTGCTTATTTTTTGGACATGTTGTTTCTTAACTGCCCAACACTCTGCTCCATACAACATAGTTGACCATACAACTGTTTTATAGAATTTTCCTTTTAGCCAAACTGATATCTGCATATAATTAACAGTAAATTGTCCATAAACCTAATTTTGCATTTAATCATTCTTTAGTTTCATTAATTAAATATTATGTCATAAGCAAACATTTAGTACTGTGGGACCTCTTTAATATGTATAGTCAATTCATTCATGACTAGTGCAAATAAATAAGAATGAAAAATGTACGTCGGCAAATTTTACAGTTGGCATTTCTTGGACATGTAAAAGTTATTACTACTTGTGGATCCTGATAAGTAAATGCTGTCTATGCAGGTATGGTGTTAGTGGCTTTCCTACATTGAAATTCTTCCCAAAAGGTAACAAAGCGGGTGAAGACTATGATGGTGGTCGAGATTTGGACGACTTTGTGACCTTCATCAATGAAAAGTGTGGCACTAGTCGTGATGGAAAAGGACAATTAACATCTAAGGTAAGTAGAAGATTGACTCAGAGATTGCCAGTTGTGTAATTAAATTCGTTTTTTTTTTTTTTTTCTGAATATATGATTACTTGGGTGATACAGGCTGGTATAGTTGCAAATTTGGATGTCTTGGTGAAGGAGTTTGTAAGTGCAAACAATGATGAGAAAAAGGCAACCTTTGCACGGATAGAAGAGGAAGTAGAGAAGCTCAAGGGTTCATCTGCAAGGTAACTGATTGGCAGGATCTTTTGCATCTATGTCTAAAACCTGGTTTGTGCAGCCAGTGTCTTGTGGGTAGGCTTGTAGTGTTGTGGGTAGAAGATCCAGACTCCTACAAGGCAGGCTGTAATTGACAGTTCAGACAGTAAATGGCATGCTAAAAGAGTTACAATCTACAACTTGCAGTTGAAGTAGGTAATGTGGCCTTAAACAGGAATTTCATTAGCTTTTCTGCTTTTCTCAGGCATGGCAAGATTTACTTGAAAGCTGCCAAGAACTGTATGGAAAAGGGTCCAGATTATGCTAAGAAAGAGACTGAGAGGCTACAGCGCATGCTTGACAAGGTAAAGTGACAATTGACAAATCTCAGACATAACAGGGGGCCATTCCTGTCTGAACCAAACAGACTATGGGAATGGGCCATTCCGATTCCGATTCCGACTATGAACCAAACGGACCTGAATTTCAGGTCTGATAATTCTAATGTTTATTCTTTTTGTCATTTCTCTATCTTTATGGTGCAGTCAATCAGCCCTGCAAAGGCAGATGAATTCACGCTGAAGAAGAACATCTTGTCAACCTTCGCTTGATCTCAGTTGGTCAAACATCAGTAAGACTAGATTTTGTCCTTGGGGGTATTTCTCCCATGTTTTCAGCTTGGGGTAAATACTATTTTGGGATCTGTCTTGTTATTTTTCTTTGTACTGTATGCATATGCAGGTCTAACTTCTGAAAACACCTCGAAGTTGAGAGTAGTTATACTTTTAGCAATGAACCTAGTGAAAGTGTGAAACTGCACCTGCAACCTACTAATTGTCCTCTTTCTCACAATTACAGAAACATGAATTTTGGAATGTGGAGAGCACTTTTCTTTTTATGCACCATGTTTTATGATTTTTCTTTATTTCTAACGATTCCTATGCGATGCACAAGGAAACCCAATATCCAATAGGATGACAGAAAGGATTAAAAAGAAATGTTGTACAAGACAAAAAAAAGTAATGAAAGAATCATAAATTATAAGTCAACAATAATGTATTTCAAATTTGAAATTACTGTAAGTGTTAATTAATTATTGGTAATTAACAGTCGAAATTAATAAGTATTTGATTTTGATTCTCCTAAATTTCTGTTTTTATTCTGTAATTTACAAAATCAACAAACTTTACAAAAATTAACAAAATTAGCAAAACAAACAAACGTACTGTTTATTTAGAGAATTAGTAATTTAGATTTACAGAAATTTAATCAACAGTAGAAATTGACAAGTATTTAATCTTTTTCCTAATTTTCTGTTCTTATTTTCTGGAAACGAAGTATATCGAGTTTAATAAACTAATTAAGTAAATAAAGAAATTAAATAAAAAACTAAGTTGATCGTTGCATGCTCAATCTACCACCAAAAATGAAACATGATAGTTCAGTTCTTTTGCGGTTTCCTTGCATGGTCAATAAGAACAAACAATTAGACGTCGTAGGTCGATCATGCAAAACACTTCACTCACTTGATTTCTATGAATCGAGTACAAACATAACAGTTCAACAGCATAACTCCCAACACTGCCAAGATGGTCAACTAGGGCCAAGGAAGCTGATTAAACAGACCAACCTGATCCAACTCGACCCGAGGTTGGTTTCAATTATTTTTGGTCAATTTTGGTTTATGTATTATGCTAACTCAAGAGGTCAGGTCAGTTTATGTGATCGGCTTCAGTCGGGGCAAGTTCATGCAAACAACCTTTTACAACCTTATATTGGGAATATCTCTCCATAAAATAAGGCTGTTCCAACTATCATTGGCCTGATGGAATTAGGTATTAGACACAGATATGTTTTTCCGACATCAAAAACCAACCAAGCACACTAAAGCGTTTAAAAACCCAAAAAAAAATATTTTAAGAGGTAAAAACAGAACTGATTTTGGTTAATGGCTGCAAGCGTCAAATGGGTCGTTTTGGTTTTTCTAACCAACCAAAAAACCAAAACGTTTAAAAACCCAGAAATAGAGGAGCACATGCACGTTTAAAACCAAATGGATTGGTTTGGGTATAAATAATTGCTTCTAGCATCAAATGGGTCGTTTTGGTTTTTTCTGCATTCAAAAGCCAAATATTGCTGAGTCGCTGAGTCGAGTGACCACTTTAGCGCAAAACGGGACAAGAAGACGATTGTCTTGGATTAGATTCTGGATATTCCGATCCAGATTCGTTTTTGCACCAACATAATTTTCTATATTTTTTTATTTTATTAAACAATAATAATTATTCTTGCTAATAAGAATTACGTTAATAATTATGAGTATTTTTAAATAACTATAATTCCAATAATAATTATGAGTATTATTGAATAATTTTCAGAATATTGATAAATGTTCAATAATTTCAGCCATTTACTTCTGAAAATTAGTGTCATTTATTGTTATTTAATATTTAATTCCTTATTGTAATTTACTGTTAATTTATTATTTTTAATCATTAATTATTGAAAATTATCAAAGAATTAGTGTTAATTTAATATTTAACTTTTATTGTAATTTACAGTTATTTTCTGATTTTCAAAAATTAATTAATGAAAAGTATAAAAAATCGGTGTACTTTATTGTTATTTAATATTTAATTTTCCATTATAGTTTACTGTTAAGTTATTTTAGGGAGGAGAATCTCACCCCTATAATTTCTTACTTAGCAACTGAAGGCACACATTCCACCAAAATTTATCTTTAGACTTCCTTCCGGAGGAGGGTTCCAACTAATCCAGTTTGTCTCTCTAATTGAAGGGGTAGTAGTTTCTAGATTTGAAGGAGGGGAGTTTGCTTCTTTAAATTCCATTGGCTCCATTTGGAAGGAGTACAAATACAAATATGTAGTGCGTAAAACTTTATATTTTGTATTATTTTATATATATTTATACCATACATATTTGCATTTGTACTACTTCCAAACTGAGCCTTAAGGTTGTCAATGATTTTACTTACTAACTCTATTATTTTTAAGCACTTTCTCGTTTCTATTTTTCTATAGGAACCAAAAGGTATATGCTATTTTTTCCCAAAATTTGGGGATAGTTTCTTCCACTTTCTCCTCCATTATTTTTCTCCACCAATCATTCAACCCTCCTTCATGTCTTTCTAATTTTTCAGCATTTTGGGGGTCCAATTGTCTCCAAACACGTTTTGCCATTAAGCAGTTTAACATGATCTGCTCTCCGTCCTCTTCAAGCTCACAAAAGGGGCCAGCAGCACTTATATTTATTCGTCTATTAATCAGGAGTGTTTTTTTTTTTTTGAAGAAATTCTATTTAATAGTAAATCCACAAGAAAATTATGAATTTTTTTCTTGACATGCAATTCTCCTTGATTTTTTAATACAAGTCTTTATATCAGGATCTATGCTAATTTGCTCTCTTAGACTATTATATGCTGATTTAACAGTGAGGTTTCCATATGGGCAGTTTCCCAAACAATCCTATCTTCTCTTTCTACTATCGGAATATGGATAGCAGATATTTTATTAATTATCTCTTGAGGGTATACCTCTCTCGATTTTGTCTGATCCCAGCAATTATTATCTGGATTTGTGTAGTGAAAGACTTTCTGTTCTACTAAATCTTGAGACCACTGACTACGTTGTTGTTTAATTTTCCATGCCCAAGAGGTCAAAGATGGGGTTTTGTGTTCTAAGAATTCCTTATTTTTAAGGTATCTTTTCCATTTATTGAACCTAGAGGTTACTTTTTTTTAAGGCTAAAATCATATTTCATTCATTCAAGAAATTGATACAAATACATAGAATTGCCAACAAGGCCAATCAGAACCCAAATACAATTTCTCAGGAAGAATAAAATATATAAATAGATGTAGGAGAACAAATGAACTTCTGCAATCCAACAAATTTAAAAAAATCACCAATAGAAGTAGAAAAGCACAACTCCAGTCCACCACAAACAGCGAGAGAAAAGACAGCAGAGGTTCCGAAAAGAGATTGCAAAGAGACGGTAATAGCATGGTTGGGGTAGATCCACAGAAGGGGATAGAACCCCAAACATTACAACCGATATCAGATACTGTAACTGCTTACCAAAACGGCATTCACCGAAGAACTGCGAATGGTACTGACCATGAGTTGCTTCTGCCGGACAACCACGAACAAACTTAACCATGGACGACAAAAACATAAAGCAACACCCACCAATATTGAAAGCTCAATACAAGATCCAAAAGCAAATAACCCCTTTGTCAAAACGCCTGCCAAAAAAAGAAAAAAAAAAAAAAAACAAGAAAAGAAAGAAGAGAATAAAGGAAAAGGGGGGACTCCCCAAAGGGAGTCACCCAACAGAGAGATTGATAGAGCCTTACTTTTTTCGTTTAAGATTTTCCAACCCAATTTCATGAGATAAGCTTGATTTACTTGGGACATTTTTCTTAGCCCTAGTCCTTCATTTTTATCAATACATACTGTTCTCCAGTTTATAAGAGTAAAGGTCTTATGATTTTGTTTTGTTCCCCAAAGGAATCTCCTTTGAAGTTTATCCAATTCATTAGTTGTTTCCTAGGGGATGCCAAACATACTCATTTGGTATATTGCATAAGATTACCAAGACAGCCTTTAGGAGAGTAACTCAACCTCCTAGAAATAGGGTTTTGCTTTTCCACAACTCCCATTTAGCTTTTGCCTTTTCAACTAGGAAGTTCAAAGTACTCTTTGTTAATATTTTCTCAATTAGTGAAGCTCCTAGATATTAATTGACCTTGGTATTCCTGATATCCTTGCTAGAATTCTTTGTAATCTATTTGGGGTATCTTGAAGTTGGACTTCTAAACTTGAGGCCTCTCTCTCTCTCTCTCTCTCACTCTCTCTCTCTCTCGTTCACCAACTCTTCTTGCAGCAAATAAACAATCTCTGGATTGGAATGTAATACTCTCTCAAATCATCTCTCAAGTTTCAGGCTTAGGCTTAAGATCTAGGCCCGATGGTCGGGCCGGGCTCAAGCTCAGGCCTCAATATATTGCGTTGATAACAAGTGAAAGCTTGGCCCAATCCTAACCCGGCCCGGCTCATGAACAGGTCTAGTTGGGGGTGCTTTATGGGTTTTAAGCCTTCCCTATACTTTGACCTTTGAAAAAGAAAAAATCTCTTGACATTTTTCAGATTATCAATTAATAAAACTAATCAACTTTTTATTGTCTTGTGCATTGCACAAGCCCCCTGCTAGTATATACTGAAGTAAATCAGGCCATGCCAGATGGCCTCTCCTTACTCCATTACCCCAATCGAGCAATTCTAGAGGGGGTGCAAGATTCCTTCTAAAAGCATATGGAGTTGCCACCTCAACATGCCGTATCTCCCTTTCCTCTCTTTTTTATTAGGAAACTAATAAAACACATATAGTGAGCACCTATTTTTTAAGAAAGATATAAGAGTCATTTGTAAAGCTAATTCTTACACCAATTTGATCCTATCCCCCACTAGCCACGTGGCACCACTATACCCAACTTTCTCAAATTACTTCTAATTATCTCTAATTCTTATTAATCTTATAAATTATCTTTAATTTAGGAGAGAATTAAATTATCTCTAATTATCCCTAATTCCTATTTATCCCCACCACACTTTTCATCTATATCTATCTAAAGAAAATTTGAATTAAAAACTTTAACAATTATTTAAGTATTATAGGAAAATCAGGTAATAACTTTAAGATATTTATTAAAAACACAAAAATTAATTATAAAATATTTAATAATATTCATATTTTTTTGGAAATTCATAATGAAATTATGTAATAACAATATAAACTATAATTTTATGGACTATTAAATTTAATAACTAAATAATATTTTAAAAACATAAATAAAACATTATTTAAACGCTATTAAAA